AAATGCTAATGACAATGATGAGACATGATTCAAATGATTCAGAACTCTAATCTAGATTAATCCTCTCATGAAGGCATTAAACTCTTCACTAATCCATTTTCAAACCAAATCATCATTTGTGAAATATGAATCAGTGAGCATTAATAAACAGTTCTAAAAGATCATTCAAGCAAATAACAAGACATCATCATGCAGCAAATTCTTAAATCTCTAAACCAGCTCTTTCAGGTATTTCATCAAACACTTTTGGTGCATGAAATTCCCAGATTCTAGATCACAAGTGATGTGCAAGGATCTAGCCTAGAGAACAGCTGTTTAGAGAGATAAATCAATGAATTTAGCCCTAAGCCCTCCTAATCTAACACTTTAGCACCCTAACCTACACATCTAGAACCTCATTAAGATGACTACTCACTAATCATACTAATGTCTCTTAAACCTTTGCAAGTTGAGAAGATTGGCATGATTAATGATGAGAAATGGAGATGGAGAAGATGGATAACGATGGATTTGCAGCTTTAAACACAAAGATCTCTCAAACTCTCTTGATTAAAACCCTTAAAAATCGATAATTCTCTTCTAAAAGGGAGTCTTTTCGTAAAAGAGGCAAGAAACAAAAGGAATAAAGCTTGGTCCTTAGGGTAAAACCTTAAAAAACTATATATAGGTCTTAAAATGAACCGGGTCAGCCTAGAAAAAACCGGCTCCTGACCCGGCTTTAATTGGTAAAATCTCGAGTGTGCGAGTTGGTCAGGAGCTTCCCATGTCGCATGCCCAAGTCGCACAGCCATAGAAACAGTCTTGTGAGCCTTAAGTCCTTCAGTCTCAGCCGCATGCCCATCTAGGTGTAAACCGCGAGTCTTCATGCGATTCAGTCTTTCTTCTCTTCAACTCGCATGACCAAGACGAAATCTGGGGAGAATATATAATTGATAGACAAGACTTTTTAGGTCTTACGGCTATCAATCCCCTTGTCAAAATAGCACAAAAGAGGTTGTCAATCCAAGAATGTAGTGATAGACACTACGCTATATGATCAGTTTCTCAATTCAAGTAAACAGATGCGGTTTTGATTGAATAATGACTAAACAAGTGATCAAACAAGAACAAAGCAAATGATAAATGATGTGAATATGAGATGATGGAAGCATGAGATTCTAGACATGATAGTTGGCTAGGGTGCTTTGGTGCTAAACTAGAAATGCTAATGACAATGATGAGACATGATTCAAATGATTCAGAACTCTAATCTAGATTAATCCTCTCATGAAGGCATTAAACTCTTCACTAATCCATTTTCAAACCAAATCATCATTTGTGAAATATGAATCAGTGAGCATTAATAAACAGTTCTAAAAGATCATTCAAGCAAATAACAAGACATCATCATGCAGCAAATTCTTAAATCTCTAAACCAGCTCTTTCAGGTATTTCATCAAACACTTTTGGTGCATGAAATTCCCAGATTCTAGATCACAAGTGATGTGCAAGGATCTAGCCTAGAGAACAGCTGTTTAGAGAGATAAATCAATGAATTTAGCCCTAAGCCCTCCTAATCTAACACTTTAGCACCCTAACCTACACATCTAGAACCTCATTAAGATGACTACTCACTAATCATACTAATGTCTCTTAAACCTTTGCAAGTTGAGAAGATTGGCATGATTAATGATGAGAAATGGAGATGGAGAAGATGGATAATGATGGATTTGCAGCTTTAAACACAAAGATCTCTCAAACTCTCTTGATTAAAACCCTTAAAAATCGATAATGCTCTTCTAAAAGGGAGTCTTTTCACAAAAGAGGCAAGAAACAAAAGGAACCCTTAAAAATCGATAATGCTCTTCTAAAAGGGAGTCTTTTCACAAAAGAGGCAAGAAACAAAAGGAATAAAGCTTGGTCCTTAGGGTAAAACCTTAAAAAACTATATATAGGTCTTAAAATGAACCGGGTCAGCCTAGAACAAACCGGTTCCTGACCCGGCTTTAATTGTTAAAATCTCGAGTGTGCGAGTTGGTCAGAAGCTTCCCATGTCGCATGCCCAAGTCGCACAGCCATAGAAACAGTCTTGTGAGCCTTAAGTCCTTCAGTCTCAGCCGCATGCCCATCTAGGTGTAAACCGCGAGTCTTCATGCGATTCAGTCTTTCTTCTCTTCAACTCGCATGACCAAGACGAAATCTGGGGAGAATATATAATTGATAGACAAGACTTTTTAGGTCTTACGGCTATCAATCCCCTTGTCAAAATAGCACAAAAGAGGTTGTCAATCCAAGAATGCAGTGATAGACACTACGCTATATGATCAGTTTCTCAATTCAAGTAAACAGATGCGGTTTTGATTGAATAATGACTAAACAAGTGATCAAACAAGAACAAAGCAAATGATAAATGATGTGAATATGAGATGATGGAAGCATGAGATTCTAGACATGATAGTTGGCTAGGGTGCTTTGGTGCTAAACTAGAAATGCTAATGACAATGATGAGACATGATTCAAATGATTAAGAACTCTAATCTAGATTAATCCTCTCATGAAGGCATTAACCTCTTCACTAATCCATTTTCAAACCAAATCATCATTTGTGAAATATGAATCAGTGAGCATTAATAAACAGTTCTAAAAGATCATTCAAGCAAATAACAAGACATCATCATGCAGCAAATTCTTAAATCTCTAAACCAGCTCTTTCAGGTATTTCATCAAACACTTTTGGTGCATGAAATTCCCAGATTCTAGATCACAAGTGATGTGCAAGGATCTAGCCTAGAGAACAGCTGTTTAGAGAGATAAATCAATAAATTTAGCCCTAAGCCCTCCTAATCTAACACTTTAGCACCCTAACCTACACATCTAGAACCTCATTAAGATGACAACTCACTAATCATACTAATGTCTCTTAAACCTTTGCAAGTTGAGAAGATTGGCATGATTAATGATGAGAAATGGAGATGGAGAAGATGGATAATGATGGATTTGCAGCTTTAAACACAAAGATCTCTCAAACTCTCTTGATTAAAACCCTTAAAAATCTATAATTCTCTTCTAAAAGGGAGTCTTTTCGTAAAAGAGGCAAGAAACAAAAGGAATAAAGCTTGGTCCTTAGGGTAAAACCTTAAAAAACTATATATAGGTCTTAAAATGAACCGGGTCAGCCTAGAAAAAACCGGCTCCTGACCCGGCTTTAATTGGTAAAATCTCGAGTGTGCGAGTTGGTCAGGAGCTTCCCATGTCGCATGCCCAAGTCGCACAGCCATAGAAACAGTCTTGTGAGCCTTAAGTCCTTCAGTCTCAGCCGCATGCCCATCTAGGTGTAAACCGCGAGTCTTCATGCGATTCAGTCTTTCTTCTCTTCAACTCGCATGACCAAGACGAAATCTGGGGAGAATATATAATTGATAGACAAGACTTTTTAGGTCTTACGGCTATCAATCCCCTTGTCAAAATAGCACAAAAGAGGTTGTCAATCCAAGAATGCAGTGATAGACACTACGCTATATGATCAGTTTCTCAATTCAAGTAAACAGATGCGGTTTTGATTGAATAATGACTAAACAAGTGATCAAACAAGAACAAAGCAAATGATAAATGATGTGAATATGAGATGATGGAAGCATGAGATTCTAGACATGATAGTTGGCTAGGGTGCTTTGGTGCTAAACTAGAAATGCTAATGACAATGATGAGACATGATTCAAATGATTCAGAACTCTAATCTAGATTAATCCTCTCATGAAGGCATTAAACTCTTCACTAATCCATTTTCAAACCAAATCATCATTTGTGAAATATGAATCAGTGAGCATTAATAAACAGTTCTAAAAGATCATTCAAGCAAATAACAAGACATCATCATGCAGCAAATTCTTAAATCTCTAAACCAGCTCTTTCAAGTATTTCATCAAACACTTTTGGTGCATAAAATTCCCAGATTCTAGATCACAAGTGATGTGCAAGGATCTAGCCTAGAGAACAGCTGTTTAGAGAGATAAATCAATGAATTTAGCCCTAAGCCCTCCTAATCTAACACTTTAGCACCCTAACCTACACATCTAGAACCTCATTAAGATGACACCTCACTAATCACACTTTAGCACCCTAACCTACACATCTAGAACCTCATTAAGATGACAACTCACTAATCATACTAATGTCTCTTAAACCTTTGCAAGTTGAGAAGATTGGCATGATTAATGATGAGAAATGGAGATGGAGAAGATGGATAATGATGGATTTGCAGCTTTAAACACAAAGATCTCTCAAACTCTCTTGATTAAAACCCTTAAAAATCGATAATGCTCTTCTAAAAGGGAGTCTTTTCACAAAAGAGGCAAGAAACAAAAGGAATAAAGCTTGGTCCTTAGGGTAAAACCTTAAAAAACTATATATAGGTCTTAAAATGAACCGGGTCAGCCTAGAACAAACCGGTTCCTGACCCGCCTTTAATTGTTAAAATCTCGAGTGTGCGAGTTGGTCAGGAGCTTCCTATGTCGCATGCCCAAGTCGCACAGCCATAGAAACAGTCTTGTGAGCCTTAAGTCCTTCAGTCTCAGCCGCATGCCCATCTAGGTGTAAACCGCGAGTCTTCATGCGATTCAGTCTTTCTTCTCTTCAACTCGCATGACCAAGACGAAATCTGGGGAGAATATATAATTGATAGACAAGAATTTTTAGGTCTTACGGCTATCAATCCCCTTGTCAAAATAGCACAAAAAAGGTTGTCAATCCAAGAATGTAGTGATAGACACTACGCTATATGATCAGTTTCTCAATTCAAGTAAACAGATGAGATTTTGATTGAATAATGACTAAACAAGTGATCAAACAAGAACTAAGCAAATGATAAATGATGTGAATATGAGATGATGGAAGCATGAGATTCTAGACATGATAGTTGGCTAGGGTGCTTTGGTGCTAAACTAGAAATGCTAATGACAATGATGAGACATGATTCAAATGATTCAGAACTCTAATCTAGATTAATCCTCTCATGAAGGCATTAAACTCACTGGAGAAATTCGATGGCTCAATCAAATTTTGGGCAACATCTTTCGAAACAGAGTATCTGCACATCCAATCCAAATTCCCCCGAAAAAAGAAAAAAGTTAAAGTAGAATTCACTAACGATATTACAAAAAAATCCGCAATATACAACTGTTTTCTTAAAAAACGGTGTCGATGTTTCCAAGCAAACGACAGTTGAACAAATTCAGACCCAGATGACAAGTGTTGTTACAAAAGCGGAAAAAAAAAGAACCTGGTGACAGTGGATAAGTGATGACGAACATCGAAACCTTGATCTGCCTGTGAAATAACAAATAAACACACCACTGTGATCCAAACAGTCTTCATCGCCATGATGAACTTTTCACGCCCTTTTTACGCCATTGTTACAGTTTTATGGTTTGATTCACCTTCACCGATAAAGGGTCACTGCCAAAACAAATGATTACTTAGTTACAAACAAAAACCACAAAAACTAACATATGTCAAGTTCTTTCAGGCATTCTGTCGAACATCTTCTATGCTAATTTTTGCAAAGTTCTAAAAAAACAAAACTCAAAGATATACCCAACCTTCAACCAATCATAAAACCTAAAACTATCATAAACGTCCATTATCGTGTTATTAATTCAGCGACATCAACCCCCAAAACCATATTTTTTTCAAAACATTTCAAGCGAAGAACATATGCCAAAAACCAGAATTGTGTGATTACTTCAGCGAAGAACATACCTCATTAATTTTCAAACGAATTCACAACATTCTTCTCAGAATAATTCCTCCACGATCACGATTTATCCTTAAGGTTTGAAATCAAATCTTGTCTGCGAATTCTATCTAGTCGTTCACGTCAAGACTCAAGAGAGAAAAGAGAATTTAAACTGTCGGGTTTAATAGTAAAGATGTTTTCGGGTCGGCTTTAAATAACAGGTCGGGTCATCGGTCCGGGTCTTTTATATTTGTAAATTCATTTTTGGGATACAAATCGGATATGGATACCGGGTCGGGTCGAATTTAGGTTTGGATCGAATTTATGTTTTTGGGTCGGGTTTCAGCAAAGTTCAGACTTTCTTTGTTTATAAGATTCACTGTCCGATTGCATAGCCCATTACTGATGCCTGAAATTCACTTTCCAAAGCTGAGTTGGTTGCCCTTGATCCATCCTTCTTGTGGTCGAATCCAATGTTTATTTATTTGTACAAGTAACTTAAAAGAGATAATTTCACATATTTCATTTTTTTTTCTTTCATAAAATCACAAACGCGAACGCAAACGCCAAACACAAACGATGAAAGAGTCGCAACAAATTTTGAGATGTTATTTATCATAGGAAATACAAGTAAAACCAATCATGGGTCCTTATTTTAGCTTACCAAAAACTAAGGCAGCAATAACAGTAGTAGTAAGTTAACAGATTTCCTCCACGATGATCTTAAAGCAACTCAAACAGATAGAACAAAGCTAATAACATCATTAGATTCAAAGGTTACCATCCATTGTAAGAAGCACCTTGTACAAATCTGGACGGCGGTCACGGAACACTCCCCAGCTTTGCCTCTTCGACTTGATCTTCTCAAGGTCAAACTGTGCCACGAGAACAGCCTCGGTTTTATCATCAGCTTCAGCCACAATTTCACCTGTTGGTCCTGTCATATAACCAAAAAGAAACATTTCGAAAGATTGTTGGTACAACATATTGTATATACATGTTCTAATATGTCTGATGAAAGTTGATGAGTTGTATATTGATACCGGCAATGAAGGAGTTCCCATAGAAAGTGATTTGACTTGGTCCATGCTCAGTTTCAATTATTTCCTTCCCTATGCGATTCGAAGCTACTAGAGGCACCTGAAACCGAAAGTATTACACATATAAATTTCTAGAAGACACTGATGAGACTTTAAAAAAACTGAAAGTGTTGTGAACTAATAGCTGCTTACCACATTAGCTCCAGCATGCCCTTGCATGACTCTCCTCCAATGATCACGAGAATCCAATCCCTGGTCTTGAGGTTCAGAACCAATAGCAGTGGGATAAAACAATACTTCAGCACCCTGTAGAACCATAGCTCGAGCTGCCTCAGGAAACCACTGATCCCAACATATAGCTGAACAATACAATGCACCAATACTTCAATTTATGATTAAAAAAATATAGAAGAAATAGACTTCTGAATAGAGTATCTTACCAACTCCAATTTTCGCAAACTTCGTCTGGAAAACCTATGAAAGCCAAGTGGGGAAGAGATCAATTATCTGACCCAAATAGATAAGATATATGTTTTCGATTTGGGATTCTTCTTGTCAAAAATTACCTTAAAGCCAGTGTCCCCAGGATTGAAATAAAACTTCTCTTGATAACCTGTAAATTAAGAAGAGTTATCAGCAAAAATGTAGCAAGAAACTCAAGCTCTTTCCAACTCCAAACTTGACTCACCAGGTCCATCGGGAATATGCGACTTCCTATAAATCCCAAGGTCAGTACCATCAGCATCGATTATGGCAATTGAGTTGTAATGTGCATTATTTGCTTCCTCAAAGAAGCTAACAGGTATCACTACGCCTAATTCCTTCGCCAGCTTCTGCATCCTGTGTAGCAGCAACCCATAAAAAATCACTAGCTAGTAGATAGATACATCTCGAAATGACACTTTACTACACTTGTGAAAATGCAAGCCCCACAACTAAAATATCAAAGTTGCATGAAGAGAAATCGAAAGAAGCAATGTCACCTTGCAATGGTGGGATGGTTCTTGTAAGGCTTGGCTCGCTGAAAAAAGTCCTCTCTTTGCGCTTGACAGAAGTAATATCCCTCAAAAAGTTCCTGTATTGAATATTGATAAACTCATACATGTAAGTATATAAACACTTTCGAGATATCAGACTAATCATACTCCAACATAGATCACTTGAGAGCAACAGTCAGACTGTATACAGATCGAGCATCATGTCAATACTTAAGACAAATACAATACACTATAGCATATAAGGAACTCCCTGAAAATTGATCGTTTCAGAGACTTAATCAAGTGATGATATTCTTAATCAAACCATATTTGAGATAAAATTTCAAGAGCAAACAATCACCTGAATAAGAACGATATTTGCTCCTTTTGCGTGTGCTTCCCTGACCAGCCTGCATAAACGTAAACAATTCCCTTCTCAAGTATCGATCGGATTCAAAACGGAGAGAGCTCTATCAGAGCCCGAATGCCGATATTGAATGTTCAACAAAGAAACGAAAATTTGCAGGAAATCTCTGACTACAAGTCGCAATACAAATGAAGGAATCTAAGGTCGATTCTACTACAATACTCGAGCAGCATCACAAATGAAACTTTAAGGAGAAGGAAAATGAGAAAAAAAAAATTAGGAGAGAGAGAAAGAGAGAGACGAACCGCTCAGCGGCGGCGACGTTGGTGGAGATATCGTGGGAGCAGGCGAATTGCAGAGATGAGACAACCACTTCACTTCTTCTTCCTTCCATTTCCATGGCTCTCTCTCTCCCTCTCCGAATTTCTCTATTTTTCTCTCTCTGAAAGAAAAATGACGCTGAGATGAAAATACGATACTCAGCTGACTCCGTCACTGTCACTGGTAGAGGAAAAAAGAAAGAAAGAACGAGAGTATCTTTCTTTTCCGAAATCGAATAAAGGAGTCTACAAACGCAAACGCCATATTTACAATTTACTTTTCTGCGTTTATAAACTATATGAATAATCTATTTCTTATAAGAAGGAATAAGGTTGTAGTTAGATATCAAATTGGGAGAACAACAAAATCAAAATCTTTTAAGAAGAATGAAACATTAGAAGTATTAGTATCAGATTGTCGAAGTTCTAAAACTATTATTAAAAATATTTAAATTTTGTTATGTAATATATAATTTAAATGTTTATCTAAAAAATATTTATAATATACATTTTGCATCAGATTAAGATTAAATACGAAATTTTTTTTTTTTATGATTTGTTAAAGAGTAAGATTTATTTTTAAAAAACATCATTAAAATTGTTTTTATTATATTTTTTACTATATGAGACATATATCTATTTACCTGTTTATAAAATAATTTATTTTTGAAAGTTCTCTATAATTTTATAATTAAATTAAATTAATGAAATCGTTTGCTGAAAAAAAAAATGTCACACGAAAAGAAAAGGCCGTTTCATGTTGGACGGTTGATGTGCGTTCACAAAACAAATTTATTCGCACTTCTTATTCTTAAACGCCAAACAAGAGCGGTTCAACTACACTGAACCGCACCGCACTTGTATCCAAACTTACCAAATCGATTTTGTGTACGTTTTGCAAATAACAACATTACGTCATAAGCTAACGTGCGCCGAAGACGAAATTGGCGCACACTCTCGCCGAGCTCATCGATTTTCTCCGATCCACCAATTCTCCAAAACCTTAAATCGCAGAAAAAATCACCTTTCGGATCTGAAAATCATGGCCGTCCGAGCAACGGTGTCGCGTTTTCCGATCGATTCGGATGCTCAAGAGGCGTCAGGGCTCCCATGGGGACTAACAGTGACACCATTCGCGGCCAAAGACGAGAGCGGAATCGGGCCAGCGTACGGATCCAACGGCCATCTTCTTCCTCGATGCGAAAACTGCTACGCCTACTTCAACACTTACTGTGAGCTCGATCAATGGGCTTGGAACTGCTCGCTTTGCGGAACTCTCAATGGACTCCCTTCCGATGCGATTGCTCGTTACTCTAACCCTCAGTCTATCCCTGAAATGACTTCTTCCTTCATTGATCTCGAGCTGCCTTGTTCGTTCTCGTACATCGCACTTTTTGTTTGCCGATTCTTTCTGCTTGATTCGTTTTCTGAATTTCCATGCCCAATTGTTGTTTTTACTAGTGGATGGATCGGAGGAAGAAATGACGCAAGCTCGTCCTGTATATGTCGCGGCGATTGATATCTCGTGTAAGGCTTGTTCCTTCTTCCTCTCTTGTGTTCTAATTTATGCTTAATCTCATCGTGGTTAGTGTAGAATGTAGTTGAATTGCGTGTTGGTGGTCTTTGCATTGTGTTTTTTAAAAGCAATGCGTTTGTGTCGTTTTAATATGATTGATCTGGGTTGTGATTCTAGCTTTGGTTTGTATGCTTTCTGTTGTTCTTGTCAAGTTTTGCCTTGATATTGTGGTTTTTTATGACTCTGGAGATTGGGTGGTCGGAGTAAATTTACTTCGAATTGTTATGAACAGAGTATTTATGATCATTTAGTTGGTCTTCATCAAGTTTTTGTTTGAATGGCCTTCAGATGTAATGTGTTGTATTTCGTGAACATTGAGACCTCTCATTCTTGCAAATAGCACGAACAAACTGCTCTATTTCTTTTAGTTTTTCTATGTTTCAGTCTGATATATGTATAGTGCCGTCTCCTTGTTCAATTGTTGCACTTTATCGTGTTGCTCATAATTACTTTTTCAATATGCAGCTTCTGAGGAATTTTTGGAGCTTGCAAAAAGTGCATTGCTAGCTGCTTTGGAAGGTCATTTCATACAAAACTTTGAAGCAAGGATTGAATTTTTTCTTCTGTATGACTGTGTTCTGAGGGTGAATTTTTCTCTTCTGGTTTCTATTATGCAGCTCTAAGTCCAGGGTCTCTTTTCGGGCTTGCTACATTCAGCCACAAAATAGGACTATATGATGTTCAAGGACCTATACCTGTTGTAAAAAATATATTTATTCCACCTGATGCGGAGAGCAGCTTACCATTAGAACTTGAGGATGCAATGCCCTTGTTACAATTTTTGGCTCCTGTATGGTCATTTCTTATCATCTCCTTTCCTGTTTCCTACTTTTTGGTCATTCATGGTGATCGTTGGAATCACATGGCTATTCTATACCTCCTGCAGGTAGAGACTTGCAAGGATCGTATTGCTGCTGCTCTTGAGACACTCAGACCGATAACTTCTTGGGAGAGATCAGCTGGAGCGGCTCAAGGGCTGGATACTGTCTTGATGGGCGGTAGAGGATTTGGTACAGCGATGGAAGCTCTCTTCAACTATCTAGGATCTGAATTTGGGAATACATTTGCATTAGGTACGTAAAAATATATAGCATGCCTATACTCTATATGTTTCAACATAGTCTAGTTTTGTCGCAGTGGGTAGTGTTTTATTGACTTGGTATAAGTGCAGCTAGGGTGTTTGCTTTCCTATCTGGTCCTCCTGATTATGGACGTGGGCAACTAGATACAAGTAGATATGGTGAACAATATGCAAGTAAAAGGGTTGATGCTGATCGTGCTCTGCTTCCTGAGCAAACACCATTTTACAAAGACATAGTAAGTCTTACACTATTTTTCTATCTCAAAGATGGATATATTATGAGCTTATAACTGACGGCTCTTTTATAGGCCACCATTGCGGTCCAGTCAGGTGTATGCGTAGACGTGTTTGCAGTTACGAATGAGTACACAGATTTAGCATCCCTGAAGTTCCTTAGCATCGAAAGTGGGGGCTCGCTGTTTTTGTATTCAAGCACCGATGATTCAACTCTTCCCCAAGACATGTTAGTTCTAATGCTTGGCCACCATTAGTTTTTCCACTTCAATAGGAAGAAGGCATGATGTGTTTTCTTCACGTGTTACCAAATTAGTTGATACAAAACTGCATGATGTTCTTTTGCAGGTTTCGGATGCTTAACCGACCGTATGCTTTCAATTGCGTCTTGAGATTGAGGACGTCAACTGAATTCAAGCCTCTCCACTCTGTATGTGGATATAGTTATGAACGAAAGTACTCTGATTTTTTTTTTCTTTTGCTTCAGCTAATAATTCAGCTTTATTTGCAGTTTGGTCACTTCTTCCCCGACCCACAGTACGAGAACCTTCAACATATCATCTGCTGTGATTCATATGCAACATATGCGTATGATTTTGAATTTGCAGATAATACTGGATTTTCCAGGTAAACTTAACAATAATTGCTTTTTCCTATTTTCATGATTGAGTGGAAGGGATGAATTGGATGCATATATATATATAGACTTTTTACTAAATTGCTGAATCCAGGAAAAAAAACTAAGCAATTTAGATGAAGTCACCAATTTGATTAACAGACTTGGCATTGAAGATTCTTAGTTCTTATTTCTCATTACCTTTTTGCAGACACGGTGGAGAGCAACCTGTTGTGCAAATTGCATTCCAGTACACAGTTGTTGTACCTCCCGAAGGGTTGTCAAATTCAGAAATGTCAACTTCAAGTAGGTATGATTAATTAAATCCATGGTGAAGCTGTTGATTGATCATCGTAGTCATTGTACACCAGTGGCAGTCTACAGTTACTGTGGGCTAAGTTTTTTATTGAAAAAAAACTTATCATTCGAACACATATAGCGTTTTGTATCCTAGAATGAATCTCATACCTCGTACACAGGTCCATGTTAGAGCCTAGAGCCTAGAATAGTTATTTTATGCTAATCAATTTTGTGTATCTTGTAGCATTTCGTTCAATATTTTGATCTAATTCATGTACCACAGAGGCAAACACACACTTCAGAGACGACTAAGGATCAGGACCATACATTTCGGAACTGCCCACAACATCAATGAAATTTACGACAGTGTGGATCATGAAGTTATTCTCTCATTGCTCGTTCACAAGGTAAAAAGAAAAGTCATCTCAAGTTTTTCAATCCATGATTAACCTGCTAATTGCTTATGTATGATTTTCGTAATTATATTTTTCTGCAGGTAATTTTAGTCTCTCTAGAAGATGGAGTCCGAGAAGGGAGGGCTTTGCTTCACGACTGGCTAGTAATCCTAACGGCACAATACAACGACGCATTTCAACTCGTCCAGTACAAAAACGGAAACAAGTCAATGAGTTCTCAAATCGACATCACGTTCTCACAATGTCCACAACTCGAGCCTTTGCCTCGCTTAGTCTTTGCCTTACTTCGTAATCCCCTCCTCCGGTTTCATGAAGAAGGTGTTCATCCTGATTACAGAATCTACTTGCAATGTCTTTTCAGGTAACCATCACAAAACGAAACAAATAATAAGTTAAATAACCTAACAAAAATAGAGACTTAACAAACAAAATTGCAGTGTGTTGGATCCGAGCTCTCTTCATTGCGGGATATACCCTGCTTTAATGTCATATTCAACACCGGATAAACAAGCGTATCCGCGACATTCATTGAGCCGTGCGGCGTTGATAACAAGTGGTAGTCCGATCTTTTTCCTAGATGCATACACCACAATAATCGTCTTCTACTCATCAACAGCTGACCCGTCACTTCCTTTCCCTCCACCTCAAGACTGTAAGTTTTCCTCACCAAAAAGTAAATCCAACTTTAAGCTCTGTTAAGCTTATGTTTGTTTGAATACTCTTATAGGTTTATTAAGGAAGACCATAAATAAGGTGAAGCAAGAGAGGAGCATAACACCAAAACTGATGTTTATCCGAGGAGGACAAGACGATGCTACAGCGTTTGAGAACTATCTTATTGAAGAACAAGACGTGGACGGTAATGGTTTCGCTAGTGCCATGGGTTTTGTGTCTTTCCTCGATGATATCTCGCAGAGTGTCGCTGAATACATGAAGTAAAAGCAACAAAATGACCATCTTAAAGCTTCTTCTTATACATCCAAACTCAAATGTGTTAAACGTTTCTTAGTTAAGAGTTTTGCTCTTCTTTGTTGTAACATTTGCTTAGACAAAAAGAATAATTAGGCAAGAATTTGTTTTTTTGCTTCTCTAGTAGTTTTGGTCCTCTTGTACAAACACTTCATTATCTAAACCTTCACTTACATATCTGTTAACACTAGAGTCAAAAGAGCATCCTAAATCAGTTTACGACATGCTCATGCCAACACAAGCACTGCTTCTCAAGCTGACAAGCCAATCGATTAGAACAAAAACCTGAAGAGAACATTGTTCTTTGCAGAATATATGAAAGAACCTTTGACTTCACTCATCTCCTTCATCACCTTCTTCCTCTTCACCACTCTCATTCCCATCCTCGTTCTCGTTATCTTCTTCACCATTCCCACTCCCATTTTCTTCCATGCTATTCTCCTCATTATTCTCTTCCATGCTGTTTTCCTCAGCTTCATCCTCCTTCTCGTTCTCCTCATCATTCCCATTCTCTTCGGTATTGTCATCCTCATCGTTCTCATTTGCATTCTCCTCAACATTCTCATTCTCCTCAACATTTTCATCACTCTTGTGTTCTCCCTCATCTGTTTTGCTTTTCCTCATACTCTTCTGCGTTGACGCTTCTTCCGGTTTCCTCTTTTTTGTCTCTTTAGGCTTCGTAGCCGCTCCACCAGCAGGCTTCGGATTTGTTCCAGCACTAGCCTTTTTCCCAGCGTTCTTCTTCTTAAACTCTGAAATTTAGCAATGTGGAGAGACATAAGCTCAATAGTCTGTCCAAAGTTTAACTAACTTGCAAACAACCTTAGATTGGAACAATTAATGGATTGAATTGACCTCATGTTTCTTCCATTACAACCTTTACATTTCTCCTAACACTCCAATAAACAACTTCAACAGAAAAACTAACCTTCAAGAGAAGCTTTAAGCGGCTCCAAAAATTCTCCAAAGTCCATTTCTTCTAATGCCTTAAACACGTCGTCAGCTTTTATAGTTTGTCTTCTTGAATCTTTACAGAAATCATTTGCCCTATGATTCACCAATCACCATAGAATAAATCAAATTAAGAACACCAGTTTTGATACATTAACTTTTCACTTCCAAAGATCTCCTTCTTATGTCAGATCAAAAGCTGTCAATTTCGATAACCCAGAGTTGGAAAATTTCTAATGAATTCGAATTTGCTATATCGTAATGAAGAAAATTTCGGAAACTTAGGGTTTTGGGAGGCGTACGTGGACGAGAGGTAGTGGATGAAGATCCGAGCACTCTCCGAGAATGCGACCAGTGCTTCCTTGTGAATGCTGACGTCATAATCCGGCGAACACTCCGACAGCTTATCCTTCACCACCCGGCGCACGATAGCTAGCGGCAGCTCATCTACCACCACTTTCTCCGACTCCATCTCTCTCTCTGTCTCCGTCTCTCGTTTCGCCGTCTTTCCCGCCCTTATGCTATAATAAAACAGATCGGCCCAAATAATATAAGCTGCTCGGCCCATTAATATTATGTACTTATTTATTGGGGAGAACGGCTGATATTGCCTCTAGACAAATTGTATCGATTAATTCATATCCATGCTTTTAAGAATTTTGAACTAGATTCTAACCCCGTGCGAAATGCACGGGAATTTTTTTTATTGTTTAACAAATTTTGTAATATAATTTGTGTTTTTGAGTTTAGATATAATTATTTTTATAAATATATTTTTTAATAAGCGAAAATATTGATTTTTGTGTTTAGATATATTTTTATATTATTAAAATTAATTATGATTATAAAATATAATTTTAACCCGTCTGCTAATATTAATTCAAAATAAACTATTATAAAAACATAATTCTAATTTTCCGTTCATATTACCGTATAATATAAATATTTGTTAAAAGTTTGAAATGTATTAACAGTATTATTTAGCATTATAGTTTTCTAAAATTTAATCAACCAAGGGAATATATAACTGGTTTTTCAAACCACATTATAGTGTATGCAATAATTTTTAATTTTTTTTATGTTTTGATTTTGTATGAAAAATATATTTTCGATAAACATGTATAATTTAAAATTAGTGATATTAGTTACCAAAATATTTGTAACCCGGTTTTTTATATATATTTTTAGTTATATAAATTTTAAAAATATATTTTTAATATTTAAATTATACATTTGAATTTTACCTATTATTTTATTATTAGTTTGTAAATAAATCATAATCGTAAATATATTATATAAACAACATAAATATCATATCATTTACATCATTATAAATATTTTATATTTCAAATATGACCATTATTTTTCATATGTGAATTTTTTTTTTCAAATATTCTAGATATTTTTGATAAAAATGTTTAATAGTATAGAAATTATTTAAATTAGAATCTTTAAATCAAATCTAAATTAATATCTGATTTATTACTTTTAATCAAATCAAATCAAATCTAAATTACCTATATTAAGGAACTCTAAAAATATTTAAATTAATAACTAATTTCGAAATTAAATATAAATAATTATTAAAATTATTTTTAAACACTTAAAAAAAATTATGAGTGTTTGGAAGCAAGTACTAAATGTGCTTCTGTTTTAATATAATAGATATTTATACACAGGCTATTTTTTTCTGCCAAAACATACATTGACCTGAATTCCATTAGTCAATCATGTTAGCTACCACGGTGGAGTTCTTGTTGGAATTATATATTATGCGACGTTGTAAATCTAATTAAGATTTTTTTTTATAAATGACATCATTTTGGAGAAACTGAGATTCAAAAGAAAAAATAACTTATGTAGCATTATTTAAAATCAGAGAAAATTAAAAATATATTGGGCCTACATAAATATGTTTCACAAACTTATTGTGTTAATATCTCACATCGATGGATTTGTATGATAATGTATTTATGTAATTTGTATATAAGGCACTATTTTCATAACTTGAGGAATAAGAAAATCTATTTACAACATCTAAGGTTTTTTAATATGGTATCAGAACATTAACCTCACTACAAAGAGTTTTTGTTTCGATTTTGGCTGTATTTTTTTTTCAGCAGATCTCTGAAATCTCAATATTTTATATATAAAAAAAGTTTGTTTTTTTTTCTCGATGGCCCCACTCATGACGAATTGTCGAGTGTTACGATGACTCCACCTCCTTCGTCGACCTCTTCTACAGAGGTAAAAAAGCGAACAATCTCGTCATACGATTTGATCCTGGTGATAATCCTGGAACGGTGATTTCAAGGTTGTTGTTACGAGGACCCAACTACGACGAGTGGTCCAACAGTCTCCGTCTGATGTTGCGTGCACAGAAAAAATTCGGCTTCGCAGATGGTTCGATTCCAAAACCGGATGAAGACTCTGCTGATTACGAAGATTGGTGTGCAAACAATGCTCTTGTCATATCATGGATCAAACTTACCATTGATGAGATATTGTGCACATCTCTGTCATACTGCGATGATGCGTACAGTCTTTGGATGCAGATTCAGAAGCAATTTGCAGTTAAGAATGGCCAGCGCATTCAACAGCTCAAAACCGAACTTGCTACGTGTCGTCAACAAGGCATGCCAATTGAGACGTACTTTGGGAAACTCACAAAGCTCTGGACAAGCCTAACTGATTATCAAAATGCCAAAACTGCAGAAGAGATTGCAAAGGAGCGTGAAGAAGATAAACTTCATTAATTTTTTATGGGAATCGATGAGTCGTTGTATGGTGGACTCAAGACTGCTCTTCTCTCGTGAACTCCTCTGCCTTCACTCGATAAAGCATATAATGTGCTTACTCAGGATGAAGAATCAAAAGTGTTTGGTCGTTTACATGAAGAACGATCAAATGGTGTGAGCTTTGCGGTACAAACACAAGCTCGATCATCCACTCCTCAAGATGGTCGAGTAATGTGCACCTTGTGTGGTCGGAGTGGTCATCTCCCCAACAAGTGCTTCTGCAAAATCGACTATCCGCCATGGTGGGGTGAGCGCTCGCGGTCTAAGTCAACTACAGAAGCACCTGCTTTCTCTGCACCGAGTCCGTTTCCCTCTCCATCTTGTAGGAAGCATTCTGAGCCTGCTCGAGTCAACAATGTTTCTGTGGTGTCTGGTGCTCCTGGTTCACATGCGGGTCCTTCAGCCTCTGTTTCACACAATGCTGCTCTCACTTCTGCAGATCGAATCAGTTTCAGTGGACTCAATGATCAGCAGTGGCACACATTGGTTGCTATGCGGAAGACATCCACCAATAATCCGTTTACTGGTACGTTTTTTTTTTTGAATCTTGGATAATTGATACAGGTGCATCAAATCACATGACGGGAAGCATTGATTATCTTTCCGATATATGTGAAATGACACCGATTATGATCAAACTTTCGGATGGAAGATTTACTACTTCAAATAAACAAGGGAATGTTTATATAAGATCAAATCTGAAACTTCATAATGTTTTCTTCGTTGATGGGCTGCATTGTCATCTGATTTTTGTATCTCAATTGACAAGAAATAGGGGCTGCATATTTCAGATTTCTGATCGTCTTTGTGTTGTCCAGGACCGCATCACTCGGACGCTGCGGGTGAGCAAGTGAATGGATTATATTTTTTTAGAGGAGTCAAAGTGGCGGCGGCGATTCAGCGTTTGGATTCACCATCTTTGGAGTTGTGGCATAGTCGCTTAGGACATCCATCTTCCAAAGCTTTAAAGATGTTGCATTTATCTGATTTAAGTAGTGGTGTTTTTGATTTCAAGGCATGTGAAGTATGTCTCTGTGCCAAGCAAACTAGAGATTCATTTCCTTTGAGTAATAAGAAAACGAGTATGAGTTTTGAGCTGATGCATTGTGACTTATGCGGCCTATATTTGACAACTTCGATTTGTGGGTCTAAGTACTTTCTTATGATCCTTGATGACTATACTTGAGCTGTTTGGATTTACCTCTTGCCATCTAAACAAGCTGCACCACAACACTTAAAGAATTTTATCGCTCTTGTTGAAAGCCAATTCAATAGCCAAGTCAAAACACTTCGCAGTGACAATGGCTCGGAGTTCATTTGTTTGCATGATTATTTTGCTGGGAAAGGGATTATACACGAGACTTCCTGTGTGGGAACTCCACAGCAAAACGGCAGAGTAGAACAAAAACACAGGCATTTGTTGAACATTGCTCGTGCTCTTCGATTTCAAGCATATCTTTCTGTCTCATTTTGGAGTTATTGTGCTTTAGCGGCTGGTTACTTGATAAATCGTACACCTTCATCGCTCCTCAACGGAAAGACGCCATTTGAACTATTATATAATAAACCACCACCCAAGAATCACATCAAAGTATTCGGGTGTTTATGTTATGTACACAACCAAAAGCATGGCGGCGATAAATTTGCGAGTCGGACAAATAAATCTGTGTTTCTTGGATATCCTTTCAGAAAGAACGGTTGGCGAGTTTACAATTTTAAGACTTGAGTCGTCTCCATTTCTAGGGATGTAATCTTTTATGAAACAGAGTTTCCATTTTTTGTTTTTCCATCATCCACTCCTACACCAGCAATCGACATTACAGATCCACACCCTGCAATGTTTGATGATGATGGTGAGATATTTGTATTTTCTGATAGGATCACTGAAATCACATCACCTCTGGAGAAATCCCTTCTTGATGCATCTCCTTCGGTGGACAGTTTGACTGCTACTGCACTCTCAGAAATCTCTGCCCAGCCGACTCCTGATACTTCAGAAGCTCAGTTGGTTAGTTATGATAGTGATTTCAGCTCTGATGTTGCGATTACATTGAAACTTTTCCAGTTGCAAATGCTCCTGCGATGGAAGTTACAGATATTCCAATTGAGTCACTCGGTACATCTGAACCCGAACTTCTTGGTAGAGGTCATCGACGGAAAACCAGACCCACGAAGCTCGCAGATTTTGTCAGCACACTTTTGCATGAGCCATATCCGCCTGCTACTCCATACCCGATTGACAATTACTTGTCGAGTGCTCATTTTTCGGCAGGTTATCAGGCCTATATCTTCGCTATTACCTCTGCTGTGGAACCCAAAAGCTACAAAGAGGCAATCAAAGACGAACGCTGGCGAAAATAAAATGGTTTCTCTCGAAGATCTTGGTACATGGACCGTTGAAGATTTACCACCAGGGAAAAAGGCTCTTGGTTGCAAGTGGGTATTTAAGCTGAAATTCAACTCTGATGGAACACTTGAGCGCCACAAAGCTCGTTTAGTTGTTCTCGTAAATAATCAAACTGAAGGTGTTGATTATAACAAAACTTTTGCACCTGTTGCTAAAATGGTTACTATTTGGACATTTCTACAACAAGCTGCATCTAATGATTGGGAAGTTCATCAAATGGATGTTCATAATGTGTTTTTTGCATGGAGATCTAGATGAGGAAGTCTACATGCAGTTTCCTCCGGGTTTCTGCACAACAGAAAAGAACAAAGTTGTCGTCTTCACAAAGCTTTGTATGGTTTGAAACAGGCTCTCCTAGGTGTTGGAATGCCAAACTTGCCACTGCTTTGAAGGACTATGGGTTCGAACAAAATGGATCTGATCATTCTTTGTTCATATTGGCGAATGGAAATTTCCAGCTTCATGTCCTTATTTATGTCCATGACCTGATTATTATGGGTACCACACTTTCTATAATCACGGCATTTAAGGAGTATTTGAGCGACTACTTTAATATGAAAGATTTGGGTTTGCTTCGTTACTTCCTTGGTATCGAAGTTGCGCGTAGTCCGAGTGGTATCTACTTGTGTCAGCAAAAATATGCCCTTGATATCATTGCAGAAACGGGCTTACTAGGTGCCAAACCAGTTTCATTTCCGTTGGAACAGAATCACAGGCTTGCGTTGGTTAAGGAAGAGTCTATGTCTGAGCCGTTTCGATATCGTCGTCTGGTTGGGAAGTTGATTTATCTTGGTGTCACACGACCTGAGCTTTCCTATTCTATACACATTCTCTCCCAATTCATGCATGATCCAAAACTGTTGCACTGGAATGCAGCTCTACGAGTAGTTTGCTATTTGAAAATTAGTACGGGTCAGGGAATACTTTTTCGCGCATCTGCGGAATTGACACTCATTGCTTGGTGTGATTCAGACTGGGGTGCATGTCCAATTACGCGACGATCTTTAACAGGTTGGTTCATTCAAATTGGTGGTTCTCCTTAGTCGTGGAAAACACATAAACACGATGTGGTCTCTCGTTCTTCGACTGAAGCAGAGTATCGTGCCATGGCTGATATTGTTTGCGAGGTTCTTTGGCTTCGGGAGTTGCTGCCAGTGTTGGGTATTAACTGTTCCGAACCGACTGTCATCTATTCTGATAGTTTGTCTGCCATTAATCTAGCAAAAAATCATGTTTATCATGCACGAACTATGCATGTTGAATTGGACTGTCATTTCATCCGTGACGAGATTCTTCGAGGTACGATATCCATGAAACATGTCTCCATTACTTCTCAGCTTGCCAAGAGTTTGAGGCGTTTTTTGACAAGCTGGGTCTTCGTAACCTCCACAAGCCACCTTGAAGGGAGGGGGGTACTGGGCTTACATAAGCCTGCTTCACAAATTTATTGTGTTAATATCCCACATCGATAGATTTGTATGTTAATGTACTTATGTAACTTGTATATAAGGTACTGCCTTCATAACTTGAAAAATAACAAAATATATTTACAACATCTAAGGTTTCTTAACATCCTAAAAAAATGTTGTGAATAAACTAAATCCAAATATTCTTGTCTTGAGCTTGTGAGAAATAATGAAAAAAAGAATTTAACAGATTGGTCAATGGTTTGAGTGCTATTGACAGAAATCGATTGATTAGGAAGAATATCATTTTTTTATTCTCAACTAAATTCAAAATGTTGTCGCATAACAATATAATCCCAACGAGGAATCTACTGTAGCAACTAGTTTATCTCTATAATGATTTAACGAGATTAACTAACAAGATTTTGGTCAATGTTTTTTTTTTAAATAGTGTGTCTGAATAATGCACGTATTAATATACTAAAATTGTTTGGGAACTAATCGGTATCATCTGTTGTCTAGGTTGATGCAAGAACTAACCATTTAGCCGTTAGAGTACAAATCGATTAACTACACATATATCAATCTTAAAAATATATATTGTTAAGTTCTTAAAACTGTATTATTATCCTAAATATTAATTGAGACGACCGCGTGAGATGTTTGATTGCGTTATTGTTTGATTGCATGCGATGTTCCGATAAATATAATGCAAACGTGGATAACGAGAACTTTATGAGCATAAGCTCGATTTAACCGTTGAATTAGCTGACTAAATCCCCACCGTCCAATAGCAAGACTAATAAATTCTATCAAACACGCGATCACGTATATTACAAAGTCGTCTTCAACCTCTGAAAAAAATTGAAAGTTTAAACAATAACTAGATTCTCCGAATTTCAGCCATTTCTAAGAAATTCCATCTTCTCATCAATGGCATATTCAGACTCTTACGCACCATCGGCACCGGAGTTACCAGAATCGTTCGGACAGCAACTCAACGGAGAAGATAGATACTGTTACGCCTATCCACATAGCTCCTCCGGGATGTTCTCACCGGAAACGCATCCGGACATTGTGAGGAGCTTCGAGTTTTCGGACAGACACCGGAGCGGATTCCTCTATGAGTCGGAACTCCGGCAAGCGTTGTCGTTTTCTGGCTACGAAGGAATTAGTAACAGAACGGTTAGGTTTCTCATGTTCATCTACAAGAGTCCTAGAGATTCTCTGCTTCGGCTTGGTAAATTTTCGATTTTTTTTTCTCTTGATTTGGAAAAAGTAACTTTTGAAAATTGGGTTTTGATCAAAGATCAAACTTAGATCAAAGTATATAACTCAAGGAGAGGTTTTTTAGGATTCAATTGATATAAATATGATTTTCAAGATTCAATAACACTCAAGAATCAAGATAAGTGAGATTTTAACCAGTTTTGATGCCATAAAATGTTACATTGTTCAAAGATTCGATTTGTATTAGAGCTTAGTTCACTGATTACAATTGGAGAATAGTTATGATGTTCAATTTCTGTTTACTGATGAAAAATGAGCCATGTTTCTACATTTTTTTAGGTCCTAAAGAGTATGTTGAGTTGTGGAATTGCCTTGCGCAGTGGCGTGTAAGTGAACACTAGAGTTTTTTAATTTCCTCCATGTAGCTCGTGTCTAAGACTCTTCTATGGATCAATCTAGTTGGAAAAAGTGTAGTGTGTTCTTCTATGCCTGAAATGAAAATGGAGTGTTACTGTATGTGGTTGGTTTTGTAGGCAATATTTGACAGGTACGATAGAGATAGAAGCGGAAAGATTTACTCTTTAGACCTCAGAGACGCTTTCTACCATCTCGGTTGCATGCTTCCAACCACGGTTCTCGAGCTTATTATCGCATCGCAGTTTGATGAAAAGACTGGCAAAACTGGTGAACTCTGTTTCCACAGGTTCCTCGAGTAAGTGTTCTTCTCTAATGTCTTCATCGATTCTTGCGGTTCTTGATTCGAATTCTAATTATCATCTATCTTCTTCTCGCTGGATTTGCAGATGTGGGATGATTGTGAAGGTAGGAACTATGATCATTTTAATCTCCATGAGAATTTCGAAATGCATTTCCATGAATCTTATCACTTGATATTCGGATATTATCAGGGATTGACTAAGAAGTTCACAGAGAAGGACCCAGGTTACACAGGCTTCGCAACGCTCTCTTACGAGGTCTTCTTGTCGATGGTGATACCGTTCATTGCCTCTTATGATTAATGTTCATGTTATTTGTTTTTTTTTTTCTATCTAAGCTACAAGTTGTATGTAGAGAATGAAATCAAACTAGTGAATAGGTAAGTTATTGTTGGTGGTGGAAGAGAGCAGAGATATATAAGTGAAAATTGTGAAGATTCTAATATATAAGAAACAATAGTGGTGTTCAAGATTCTAATACAAAATGCTTATAGCCATTTTTAGAGCCTTTTACAAACAAGGACACCTAAAACCACCGAACCAAGAACCGAAAAGGCACCTTGCCTTGACCTCCAAAACTCGGTCCATGTCAAAGGTCTTCTAATTTCAGACAAAACCATGTTGAACTGATGGTTGAGTTCGTCGAGACCGCCATTATTATCGATCACAACATCAGCTTTGCTTCTTTTCGAATCCAACGACATCTGAGCCATGATTCTGTTTCTTGCATCTTCCTCACTCAGTCCATCTCTCTCCATCAGTCTCTTGAGTTGTGTTTCTTCACTGACCCATACGACTACAATGGGTTTTGTCCATTTATCCATCTTTGCTTCGAACAACAATGGGATATCAACAACTATAACTTTAGCTCCCTTTGCCCATTGTTTCAAAATTTCCCAAAAGATACCAGTTGATATGTACGGAGCCATAAGCCTGACACCACAATCAATATACTTGATCTCATCCAATAAACAAAAAAGAAAAATATCTAAATTTCTTACTTGTTTAGAAGTTGGCGCTTGGAATCGGAAGAGAACACCATCTGACCAAGTTTTGGCCGGTCCACTTCTCTACTAGGAAGCAGAATCTCCTCCCCAAAAGCTCCAACTACTCTTTTCCATCCTCCACTTCCTTTCTTTAATACATTCTATATAGCAAAGACACACACATCCGCACCTTTTGTTAACTTCTCTTTAGCTAGATTGCATCTAAGATATGGCCTATGTACTATGATGAGCTAAAGATTAAAGAAAGGTGAAAATTTTCCAAAGGCAGAGACTTTACTCGAGCAACGACATCAGCATCAACAACGGGAATGCCACTAGACTTGAAGAGATTGGAGACTGTACTCTTGCCAGACGCTATGCCTCCTGTTAACCCGACTATTCTCATTTCTCTCCTTTCCACTACTACAATTTAACACATTCCTCTTTCTCTTTACCAATGGTTGATTACAAAATGTTAGAGCTTTTAGTTGCTGCTAATTTCCACCACCTGCAGTATTATTATCATTCACCAGATAAACCAAATTAGCCACAATTTATACCAGCTAACTTCAAGGAGATCAAATAAACATAAATTGTTCTTTTTTTAGTTACAAGAATCAAATTATACTCGCCAGCACCTTCTCCAAGAGTATGTAAATTACAATTTAGAGATTAAGCTGAAAATTGAATCACTGAGAGGCAATTCTGGGAATTAAGAAGAAACTGAGATTGATTCTGATTTTAACATTTGAGAAGCAAATACGATCATGTGATATCGGCTGGGTAAGGAAAATAGATTTTGGTAGAAATTAAAAATACAAATACTCATCGGATATTCAAATGAATTATGGAGTAATTAAGATCAAACACTCAAACTCAAAGAAGAAATCTCCAGAAGAAGATGACGAAAACAAAAGAATCTAAAGATGCAGATGTATTTCGATTCCTAGCTCAACGAGAACTGGGCTGTTTCATCCCACCAAACCGATCTAAATATTACCTTATTCGCAAGAATACGAAGAAATCGACGACGGAGATGGAGATCGGTGACGAAGAGCACAGAAGTGACGACGAAACATCGTAATAGTTGAGGGCAAAAATAATTGGACAATTTTTGAAATCTCATAGGGGCAATATCGTCTGATTGCGTTCTAATTGTTTTAAACAAAAATTAAATATTATAAATCACTTTCGATCCGAACCGGAGGTCAATCGGGTTTACAAACGAATGAACCAAAAGCAAAATCAAACCGGAAATTGGGTAAATGTTGCGACTTAACCGACTGCTGTTTGTTTAGCCTTTTTGGTTACGACGGTCTACCATGTCGTTTGTGTGACATTAGTTTTTTTTTGTCGTTTTTTGATTTCATCACAACCCAAATTGGGCAAATTACATGTGGTTTCAACTTCAAAGCCTAAGCCTTTACAAATTAAGCCCACTAATGAAATACAATCTTATCTCATTACTTTATTACTTAGAGATAACGATGCACAAAATTAAAACACGTGTAAAACACGTGGAAAGCTTAGGAAAGTAAGGATGACGGTGAGTAGCGCTGCCGACATCGTCGCCGAAACAGACTCCGCCGAAACCAAGATCTGATGAACTACGATACAGAAATTCACCAGATTTTAATCATCCTCTTAGAAACCATCATGTAAACATCTTCCACAGAAATGAAATGAAGCCCATGGTCGAAATCTTCTTGACTCCTTAAAATTCATCTTTGATCATCACTGCTCATGACCCACCACCCTAACCTTGACAAAGGCACTTCAATAGGGTATTTAGGGAGATAAAACTCCCAACCAGCCAGCCAGGAGAGGACAATACCAAATATTGGAGCAGAGGATTGTACCATCATCACTACCTCATGCAAAAGGAGGAATAAATCTGTCGAAGAGAGACAACTAACTCTGAAGACCAAAAATCCCTTGCTCTCTCATTATAAACAAATCAATTCTTCACTAAGAGAGAATCTTTACTCCACTACGGACTAGCAAAGATTAAAACTCTCAAAATAAGGAAGAAATTGATTTTACACTCAACATGAGCAAAAGAAATTTGATAATCAGAAAGACTAAATCCGTTGAAACGGAAATTATTTATCCGACCTGAATAATGATGAGTTGGAGATTGTATTAGAGTAGGAAAAATCTGATGTTTTAGGATCCAATAAATGATTCATCTGCATCTGAATGATGTTTGTTTCTATTTTGGGTTGTTCATTTGGATGATACATCTTAATGAACATTTGTTTATATTTATCTAGATGTTTTAATAAAAAAATAACTAAAAAACTCATACTTTAATCTAATTATAAATTTACATTTTAATCAAATTTTAAATATATTAATTTTAATTCTTGATCTAAAGGAAAACTTGATTTTACTTTCTGGCCAAAATTTTTTTTTTTTTGTCTTTGAAGAGAAAATAAATATTCGTTTTTGGCAAAAAAAAAAAACAAAATTTTACACTTTGGACAGAAAAATGGAAAATTAGATTTTTTTGGTGTGAAAATATTTTATATTTTTAACAAAAAAATGGGTTTTTACATCTTTTTATAGTAAAACAAAATATAATGATTTTTACGGAAAAAAAAAATTTTTATGCTTTTTGACGGAAATCAAGATACAAATTTTTGGCAGAAAAAATGAGATTTTATGTTCTTGCAGAAAAAAAAAGATTTTATGTTTTTGGCGAGAAAACGAGATCTGATATTTTTTACAGGATAAATAGATATTACATTTTATACAGTAAAATGAGATTTTATGTTCTTACAGAAAAATATTTTACGTTTTTGGAAAAAAACAAGATTTTATATTTTTTAAAGAAAAGGTATTTTATCCGTAATTGTGTGAGACTAGGAATTACTACATAAATTCTCCCGGATTTGAAAGCATAAATCTTCTATCGATATTATTATTTAAGTAGGCACTAAAAAGCAATTTTTGTTTTGTAAATTATTATATCAAACACCATTACAAATAATAAAAACTAATTAAAATAAAAAAAGATATCATTGTCTTTCAAAACTATTAAAAAATATGAAAAGTCTGTATTTGTCATTTAATAGAGTATATTTACTATTTAATTTCTAAATATAAAAATATGATATTTTATATATTTTTTATTGCAAATAATATTATTTAATATATTTAACTAAAAAACGTGAGAAAATATATTTTTTTCAATTTTTCAAATTTGAAAAATCAAAATTAAAAATTATGATATTAAAATAATGTTGAAATATTTTTTTTTACTATAATCTACTATATTTTACATGATCATATATAATCTTTCAAAACTATTGATGTTTTTTAAAGTTATATATACATCGAGTGAAAAACGGGTTAAGTAAACGGTTTAATCTGATATGAACGGGTTGTGATTCTAATTTTTGAATATCTACAAGAACAAATATTGAAATTCAAAATATTAGCTTTAAAAATAGGTGGTATACTCAATTTATTAAATATTATAATTTGTCAATGGGTTAAATAAATAAATTATTATAATTTGTCAATGGGGTAAATAAACAGCTTATTACGTTATAATCACGCGTAACTAAAATTTATAACTAAAATTTTTAAAATTAATTTCTAAAATAATATTTAATATATTATAATTCCGCGTATTATGCGATACACGGGTTAATTCCTAAAGTCTGCGGATTTATTTTACCCGCAGAGTGTGCAAGATACAATATCTTCGCGAGCTAGGGTATCTTAGTAATACCAATTAGAGCAATAGTCTAATTGGATTGCCCTAGCCTAAGAATCACTTCCCTTTTTATCTGAGGTTTAAACAATATAAGACTCTTAAGATAATAAACTTTTTAGTGAATGAAGATTGATGTGGAACATGAAAAGTTTGTACAAAGAAGTGCTGGCTCCATGCCATGGCTTGACCCGCAAAACCTTTCACCTGCAACACGATGATTAAACCCATAAAACAATACGACAGATTAGACAACTCCACGAACATAAATAATTACCTTTCTTTTTACTCACTAAATCAACTCAAAGACCCACATCAATCAAACAAAATAAAACATCTTAGTTTGAATCAATTTTGAGTGAAAGAAAAAATACAAGAAATCGTCAATACAAAGAGGTAAAATGAATCATCATAAAATATACAAATCAGAAACAAAAGATATGAACTCGGTAAATAACAAAAGGAATTTATGTAGTAATTACATTTCAATTTTGTTTTAAAAAAAACTAAATAAAAGAACCACAACATGTCCAAATACACATTAGATCATTTGTTTATGAGCCACATACCTGGCAAGATACAAAACGTCCAAACGACTAAGTGGTGTATCGATCAAACACTGAATGAAACAATAATTAAAGTTGATGAAACAAAATATACGAATTGTGATCAAAAGAACTTTAGAAACTAATCATGTGTCGCTCTAAAAAAAAAAAAGACCATGACGTTTTCAGACGCAATAGATCGTACAAACGACATGATACAAAAACGTGCACATGACGAAATAATATATCAAGCATAAATAAAACAAAGCGTACGAAAACAATTATATGCAAATTATTAATAGAATAATTAATTGATAAACAAACCAAAAGAGAAAAAAGTGCTAGACCTAAAAAACGCCAATGTTATTCTAACAAAACAAAGATCTATCTATATATATATACATATAAAGTAGAGTACTGTTTCAAAGTTAGTAATTCGCGAGATGGTGACACGTGTCAAGATAAACGATTAGATTTTGACACGTGTTTAATAAATTTTCAATTAGATTCTGATATGTAATATTAACAATAAATAAAAAAAATTATAATTGGTTCCTAATCCTAAAAGGTATAGTTATCAAATATATAAGAAAATAAAAATACAATTACAATAAAATCCAAAGTTAATAAGAAAAACTATAACATATTTTTAATCTTAATCATTAAAGGTAATGTTACTAAATAAAAATAAAAATAAAAAAACTTAAAGTTTATTCTAAAATTATAAGTTAATAAGAAAATAAAAATAATGTTATTTTAGTTTTCAAATTTAGATGAATAAGATTAAACAATAAATTACTTATTTAAAAAAGGAAAAAAATCTAATTTTCCATTTCTATATAAAAGAGTTTTTAGTTTTTTTTTTTCACCAACTATAAAATAATAAACTATAAACTTCTATATATGTGGGTCCTTATCTAGTATGTATATATCTGGATGGACATGTTAGGTTTTTAGTTAACACCGACTTAGGAAAGGTTTTCGAAATCGCTGTTCCATAGCAGATTATTCGGGCTTATGCAGTCCATTTAGAGTGAATAAATCTATGTCACAGGTATTAACACGTAGGATTAATGATAGACCAATGAGAACTAATTAAAACATCACATAATATTTTTTTATTAATGACACATTGGACAATCATTGTGGAGACAACACATGAGATTTTTGACCTCATAAATAATAGTATAGATTTAAACAAAATTTTATTTAATAATTTTATGTAATCACACTATTCAACCGTGATAGTATTAATCAAGCTGGCCGAAATAACAGAAAGTAAATCTTAGAAACTAGATAGTCATTCAGATTTTGGACCAAAATTTCAAAATCTACCCAAAAATGTTTGCTTAATAAAAAAAAATATTTGGCCTCATAAAAAAAGATAAAAATTAAAGAAAAAGAAGAATTGTTTTCTCATTGTTGTATTATTGTTTTACAGTGATGAAATCAAGGTGTCGTGGACAACGATGAACCCAATAAAAAAAAATTAGGATTTTTCAAATCTTATATCAGGTGTGCTTCGAGGGTAATGTATAAAGTCAGAAAAGAGGCTTCGTCGAGACCTTCTCTGATATCATATTCAATGAACAACACTTCTGATCTTAGATCTGCAACAATAAGATAAAGAAGTGCAAAAAAGACGAAGATGGAGAAACTAAGGCTTTGATGGGAGCGGTTCAGTCCGGTTCATCTGCCAAGCGTTTCAACTGCTCTATCTTTCTTCATTCAGTATAATTATAATTGTTATCTACAGTCTTTAATAAAATAATAATAAAATCAATTTGAATCACAAGCGGTCTAAAAATACAATTTTTTTTTGAAATGCATATAATTATGGAATGCCTTATTTTTGGAGTGGTTCA